AGAGAGAGAGAGAGAGAGAATGCCAATTTCATAAGTGGTCTTTCCTTTATCTTAGACACTGAATCTAAACATTCAGACCACGGAAAAATATGCAGCAAAAACCAAAAAAAACCTAAAAAAGAAGCACAACTAAGAACCTTGGAATGGTAGTAATCTGAATCGTTAATGGAGAGGAGCTCGGCTTTCCTGCACCCCGAATCATATCCATGCCTTATTGCAACTGCCCCAACAAACAAACCAAGCCCAAAGATTGATCTCTCCATCCCAATAGTCTCTCTTCTCATTTTGATAGAATCAAGGTGCAAAATTCTTTCTATAATTCTCTCATTAAACCAGAGTTTGATGAAGCCTTCTGCCCTTCCAAGCTCTTGTTGGGTGGCTAAGCTTGTGGCTGTGACTCTAAAGAAGGGACCCAAGGTTTTGAGGTGGAGTTTCATGTTTTGGTTAAGGGAAGAAGCCATTAATTCAGACATAGAGGGAATGGGTTCCTTGCTGCAAACTGTGGGCTTAGACACAAGGGATTGAAATTGGGGTTTCATTGAGTTTTTGAGGGAGAAGGGATTTGAAGTAGAAGAGAAAGTGGGGAGAAGGGCCATTTATTGAGGCTCTGGGCCTTTGGAAGTTATCTGGCTTGGGCGTTCACACTGCACCATATGCACATGGTCTCAGAAAGACAGAGAGCGAGAGAGAGAGGGAGGGAGAGAGAGAGAGGGAGTATACTATTGAGCATTTTGGATAACAAATGTTGCTTTAGGGCGGGGTTTGTTTTCGGAGGAACTTATTTCTCCAGAATAAATAAATCACTAATAATGCAGCAAACCCTTATTTGACACAGTGCTATATGTCCGAATTGGAAAGTTTTTATTCTTCAACTTTTTCATTTTTTTTATTTAAAAAAAAAACAACTTTTTTATTCCTCGCTAAGCAAGGAACTTGTATTTGAAAATTTATTTGTGTCCAAGCAAGGAACTTGTATTTGAAAATTTATTTGTGTCCAAGTCCCTGATATTTATTTTATCAATTGTTATTTGTATTATATATATGGAAAAGTCTTCCCAACATTTATAGGCGTAAATGATCAGTGATTTTGATTATCTTTATCATCGTCTAAAGTTCATCGCATTGTCATGATTGTCCAGTATTGTTTCATTTTTTATTTTTTTTCTACAAATCAGAATGATTTGAAATTTGGAGCGTGTGCATATGCTTAATAAAAATATCAAAAAAATAATTCATGAAAAAAATGACCAAAATACCTCTAAAACTTTTCGGGATATTTTGATCAACTTACTTCATGTTAAATTTTTTTTTTTTGATATTTTTTGTATACTCTCATATTTTTGATGTACACACTCTCCAAATTTCATGTTATTCTAATTTGTAGAAAAAAAAATGAAAAATAAAACACTACTGGACAATCGTGACCGTACGATGAACTTTGGACGATATGAGGGTAGGCGAAATCACTGTTCATTTTCACCTATAGGCGTTTTGTAGTATC